TCGTGGCCTCCTCTGGACTTGTTCCAACAGTTCCATGTTGGAGGACACTAGATGCTATGTTACATTTTATATCTAGATTTCTGAAAGAAATGAAATAAATACAAAGGTGGGTACTACATACTGAATAAAAAACAGTTCTCAGGCAACCCTCAGTCTGAAGTAAAGGATAAAATCCTCTAAAATCAGTAAGCTCTTTCAGGCTTTTGATAATCCCAGTGGATTAAAAAAGACTGATGATGATGATAATGATACCTGACAAAGCAAACATGATCTAGGACTAACCTGAACAAGGCTGGGTGAAACTAGCAAGTACTGGGCAACTATATCAGCTGTGTAACAGAGGTAAAAGGGCAGCAGATACAGCTGTGAGCATGATCCTGGGAAGATCACTGTCGGGCAAAGTACACATATAGAGCTTGGTAGAATGGAAGATTTCTGAGAAGGGGAATAGCCTCCTATCTTTATCTCTCTTTTTTCCATGAGGCATACAGGGAGATGGAATAGTATTTAAACAGACGACAGAACACTGAGATCAAGGCTGACTCTCCTCACCTTATTTCTCACACTGGCAAAAATGACCTTGCAAGACTATAAACTTTGACCAGCTAGATGACCAAATATGTTGCGATGTTTTTCTCTCTACTGTGGGAATTCAAGGCCTTTTCTTCCATCCTCACCCATGAAAACTAGAGGTATCTAAAACTGAACGTAATTGAGCTTACTCAGTGTAAACCAGAAGTGAGATCAGAGTCAGAAAATGCCTTTCTGTGATTTTCCAAAGTCATACAGCTAGCAGAAGTAAGTTCAGGAGCAAAACCCACTTGATCCTGAGCTGTTCTCTGTAATAAAATCAAAGACCATTTCTGAGGGAACTGAAAATGTACCTGGTGTCTAAAAAGTAAGCGATGTGGAAGTGTGTACTTGGAGGAGAAAAAGTGAAAACAGGTCTCAACAGAAGTGAAGCTTTCTATTAAGAAAAGAAATGCTACAGCAAGTTTACAAATAGCACTAGGATTACCTTTGTTTAAAAAATGTATGTAACTTTTTATCAAGCATCCCTAGGTCACAAAATGGTTCATGCTGTATTTGCAAGGATGTGGATGTGTCCCTCTCTGGTTCTGAGAGTCTGTATATACAAAGTAAAATAAAGTACTCAAACAGAAACTGGCTGGCTAAACAAGGGAACTTCAGGTACTCTCTGTGGTTTTAATAACACTGGATGTAATCAAGGGTCTTCTCCACATGAAAAGAAATGATTCCTACAGAGTTCTCATGGCAAACACTCCACAGGTACACCTATGCCCTGATTATATCTTCTGTGTTCATGCCTTTGTTTCTATATTCTCATGCTCAGCAGTGAGTGCAATTATGAATGCCTGTCACTTGTTTAAACAAATGCTTTGTTTGGCAACCTTTGTTTCCTGCTGCTGATGCAGCTGCAAAATTGTGTGCACAGTGTGTTAATTTTTTACCTTTGATACTATGGTAAGGGGTTTCTTTCCCAACAAAAAAAAAAAGGAAACCAATGAATGAGATACCAATCTCGTCTGATCCACACAGAACATGAAGGCAGCACTTCTTAGGAAACAACAGTAAATGAAGGCTGATACAATGGTAAAATAAGCTAGATATTTCCTGGAACCAAATGATTCTTCTTAACATGACAGAGAAAAGTTAGCATATACATAAAATGTGAGAGAGAAAGAGACTTAAAAAAAAAAAGGATGACAAAGGTGAGCCAATAAAACAACAAAGAATTATATTATTTGGGACAACAGGCTAACAGCGTGACAGGATGTATCTTCTACAAAATTAAAAAATTAAATTGATATATCAGCACCCAGAATTTCTTGCTCATTCTTATAAGGGGAAGGAAAGTGAGAATGGATTTGACATAGGCACTTGAGCAAGTTACCGTGGTTTAAATCAGGATATAACTTAGAGTATATCTACTTCTTCTCAGTGCTTGCTCAGGGACATTGCTTACTCCATGGTAAAGTAAAGCCTTCATTCACTGGAGGAAGACTTACACTGAATTTCTTTACATTATTGCAGAAATATTCAGGTGAGTACACTTTTGAAAGCGCATAAAGCTTAGAGGATTGTGAAACACAGGAAACAATTATCCTTGGTTAGTCATTCATGTGTTGGTACTGTAAATTAAAGATTAAACCCAAATTTGGGCTTCTGATTGAAGCACAGAGGAGGTCTCCTCTGTTAGGTTCTGAAACAAAGATTTGTTTCTTCTGCTGTATACAACTGTTTTCTGTCACAGTTCATGCTGCATGAAGAGTAGGTTGTATCTGGCAGTGTCAGTCTCAAGGGGAAGAAGGGACAGGTTGTGATAACAGTCTCTTCATGATTTATTGGTGTAGTTCAGAATTCTAAACAACAATGCCTTCTGCTTTGGGAAAAATGATAGGGAAAAAAATCTTAAGTCTTATCTCTGGTAAGACAGAAAAAATCCCATACAAACAGTGAATTAATTACATATTCTGGATTGCTGTAATGATGAGAGCAGACAGACTCACTAGCAGAAGGCAGTGCTGCAGCCCTTCTCATTAATAAATTGCTGTATTATTTTCTTATTATGTTGCTATCTCTGATCAAAGATGCAGACATAGGTAGATCCTGCCAGCACTTCCTGCAGTTGACTTCACAACTATAGGTGAATAGTATAATTGGTTTATGACAGTGAAAGACTTTCTGGTTCGTATTGTTTTAGGTGAGAAATTATTTACTGGCAGTACAGACAGAGGTGGGATCTCACATCCTCGGCAGAACGTGGGTTAATAATCTCAGGGAGAGAATGTACTGATGAGAAAATAGGACAGCTTTGACATCAGAGTTGGTTTGTGACGGCAAAGGCTTTTACTAGCAACTTTCCACAACGGGTAATACATTGGTATTTATATTGCTGGTTTTCTAGCTGGGACCTGGCAATTGCCTGAGTGCAGCAGAAACTGTTTGGCGCATCTCTTGCAGACCAAATCTGTGCAGCAAAGCGTGAAATAATCCTGCGTGAAAAGTCAGTTTATAAGTAGTTTAACCTCTGAACTTCCTAATCTGCTTGTGAAGGAAGAGAACACAGTGAATAAATCAACAGACTCGGCTGAACAGTTACAAATCTGGAAGGAGAAGCAAGGTTTTTCCCTAAGACACTGGTTGTTAATTCGGAGCATCATGAGGACTCCTTAATACATAAAACACCAGCTTGAGAAGTCCCTATAAGCACTTTTGAAGATGTGACTCACCAGTATAAATTTCCCTGCCTGAAACACAAACCCCCTCAAGGCCTGTTCTCTGACTCTGTAACTTCCAGACAAATGAGCAGGAGGAATTGCTGATCCCCTGGGATCAGCACGTTGGAGTTTTTTTGACATGCACCATTTCATTTCATACAGGTACAAAAGTCCTGCAGTGTCTTTGGTTTGAACAGTGAGAACACCGTAACAAACCACTGGTCCAACAGCCAGGGCAACAGCTCCAGTTAGCCATAGGCTTGTAGGTGTCAGGGTGGCAAATTACAGCGGAACCAAATGGATTCAGTTGCATGTCATGATATTGCAGAATGGGACTGAGCATCTCATTTGAAGAGTATTTTAGGCACAAGTCTGAAAGTCTCTCTGCTGAAGCTGAAAAATGGAAGTATGGTGACGGTCTTGTTTGGGCAACACTGTGATATATAAGGATACAGTAAAATAATACTATCTTTGTCATCTTTCAGAGCTAATTGCGTACTTCCTCCATGCTTCCATTTTGTGCTTTTGCATGTATTTATCATTCCCAGTAGGTTAACAGAAGGTTTTCCACCTTCGCCCAGTCATTCTGTTCTCACACCAAATGCAGGAACAAAGCAACATAAAATCAATCTGATGAGCTAATTTAGCAAATTCCCACTTGGTGCCTGTTCTTCAGCTGTGTTCACATGCACGGTGACATTTTTCTCCTTAATGTGACAGCTTACATTCAGATCATCCCATCTCAGCGGTGTGAGCGCGCAGGAGCCATTTGAGCAGGGAGAAATGTAATGGAAGGAGTAGGGAACACACATGAAATGGGAATGTGTCAGCGGCTCAGCACTGGCAGTTCTCAATGTACAGATACACATTTGATCTGCTTGTTTGGACAAGCTCTGCTGGCTAAAGCCCGTGCCTACATTGCCTGGCAGGTCTGGAAACACTTAGCAAAGAGGAGATGTAGTGCTGGAGTTCGCAATAGCCCTGAGACACCATTAGAGCAGGATGGCTAGGCTGTGGCCTGGAGGACATGGGCACCAAATGTTTCGCTTCCTTGGCTATATACTGACAGGTTCATCTTCAGGAGAAGAGAAAGCTCAGGGGGAACCTTATTGCTTTCTATAGCTACCTAAAACAAGGTTGTAGTAAGGTGGGTATCAGCTGCTTCTCCCAGGTAATGAGTGCCAGGACAAGAGGAAAAGGCCCCAAGCTGAGCCATGGCAGGTTTAGATGGGGATGAGGAACAATTCCTTCCCCAGAGGGTGCTCAGGCATTGGAACAGGCTGCCCAGGAGTCACCGTCCCTGCAAGTGTTCACACACCATGGAGACGAGGCCCTCAGTGCCATGGGTTAGTGGTGGCCTCAGCAGTGCTGGGGTGATGGATGGATCTTAAAGGTCTTTTCCAGCCGCGTGGATGCTGATTCTATGATCAACACCCGGGGAGCACTCAGGACCCTGCTGTGGAGCCAGGAGGGTCTTGTGGAGCCCTGGGAGCAGCGGCAGCGCTGCCTGGGCGGCGCCTTGGGGCTCTGTGTAGACCTGTGGTTACAAAGCGTGCTGCGCGCCGGGACTACCACTCCCGGCATGCTCTGCTCCAACCGCGTGTACTACAGGTCCCGGCCTGCTCGGCGGGGGCGTTCCCGCCGGTGGCTGCGCGTTGCCCTGTGGGAATTGTAGTTTTCCCGCCTCGGCTCCTCGGTGAAGTGCGGCCGCGTGGCCGCGCCCTCCTCCTGCGCCTGCGCGGACTGTCGGGGCGGTCGGGGGTCCGAGCAGGCATAGCGCCGCGGCGCGTGCGTGCTGAGGAGAGGGAGATCTCTCGCGAGGAAGGACGCCATTATCGCAGCCGCTCGACAAACACCACGAGAATTCGGCACCGCACACGGTAACCGCGGCGCCCCGCGGCCGGACGGCTGGGGATGAGCTCCCGGGGGGGGCCTAGCGCCGAGCGCGGAGCTCCGGCCCTCCCGCTCCTCACGGCGCTGCCCGAGCACCCGGGCCGCGAGGCGGCTGCTCCGGGGAGGGGCCGAGCTGAGGCGGGGGGGCCGCGGGCTGCCGCCCCCTCACCCGAACAGGGCTTGGGGGGGCCGAGTGGGGACTCGCCTCCTCCCGCCGCGGGACGCCGAAGCTGGGCCCTCCGCGGGGGGCTCCTTGTCGTCGCTTCGCTCCCCGCCTGCTTTCTCCGCGCCCTGGCCTGGGGGGGTCACCCCCCTGTGCTGGCTCCTTCTACCGCTGCCGAGGCGCTCGGGCCCCCCTGCGGGGCGGCGTTCGAAGTGGAGGGTCTGGTCATCCTCCGAGCACCTCGGCCTCCTTCCCCCTCCGTCTCCCTTGGGGGTTGTGTTTCCCCGTTCTCAAGGACGGGGCAGGTCGGAGCTCTGCCGCCTGCCTTCCCTTGGGCCGCGCTGCAGGCATGGTCTGGGGAAGGGGCATCGCCGGCAGCGCTCGCTCCCGCGTCCCTGCCGCAGCGGAGTGTCAGTGGCTGGTGACACAGGTGCCGCCGCCTCCCTTTGCTGCTGGTAATGGAGAGGGGCTGCTGCTATTCACATGCCCGCGAGTGCTTGTGTGGGGGGAAAATAGTCTCCTGAGATGCCGCTTTGCGTGTGTGGACATTGAGTCGCAGTGAGGGTTCTTCACATCCACAGCGGGGATGGTATTTTCTAGTCCTTTCCTACCAGTGATCTGTTTGACAACACACTCGGTCTTCCCGTTTTCCTGATTTGCAATTCAAGTGTTGCGCTTTTTTTCATTACTTTTATTTTTAAATCCTTTTACAGTGGGAAGTTGGGTGCTTAACCAAATATAGTCATTTTATCCTGCTATATAGTTTATTTTTAGAGATCTCGAGGGAAGATTTTTTAAGTAAACAAGTTTAAAGGGGTATTAGCAACTGAGTGATTTCTTCAGTGGAAGCAGTGTTTAACCTTGTTGTAAAATGAGAGTTTGGAACGATTTTTTCTACTTTGCCTTCTACATGAGGTTGTCCGAAGTATAGTACCCCGTTGACGTCAGCCTTTCAGGAAACAAACATACACTTCGTAGTATTTTCGTACCCAAGGAAGAGCTTGAAACAACAAAGAAACAAAACCCAAACAAAAAATAGCGTTGTCTTAATAATTTTGTAGCAGTGCCACTTGAAGGATTTTCTCTGTTAGGAAATGTTAACATATATTTAAATGGGTGTCCATAGAAATCAACCAGAATAACAATTTGATTCTGAAACTCTGTGAGCCTTATTTCATACGTTAAATGACATCTTGGCAGTAGATAGGTTTTCAATAATACATGAAAAGATGTTCCAAAGAAAGAGCAGTTAGTTTACTGAGGAGAGTAAAAAAGGCGGAGTTGGGATTTGGGATATGTTCCCTCTCTGTCAGAGAATGAAAGTATTTTGTATCTTTTGTAATTTATAATCTCTTTTACAATAACAGTAACTGGCTTTAATGTCTTAAATTACCCAGCCGTGTTTAACTTGTGTGGTGACAGGACAGGCCTTTAATTTTAACGAAAAAATAGATGAATAGTGTTCTGAGTAATTGAATAACAAAATTAAGGATATAGTAGTAATATAGTGAGCACTGGTGATCCATGTTCACAGTTGGAAAGGTTCCATCAGCACATGTTCTGCTGAGGGTATTTGCAAAAGGCTTGTTTCCTGCCTGTGCTGTTTTTAACACAGTGCAACATACTTGCTCTGTACTGGTTTGGAGTGATGAGGTAAGAAAGATGAGCTTATAGTCGTGGCCCCAGATAATCACAAGTGCTACTTGCAGGTTTACATTGATTTTTGTGAGGAGTAGTGTGTGATTCAGACCCACATCGTTAAAACAGTAATATACTTGCATTTTCAGGTACTTGAGGCTCTTTGGGCTTTATCTTGAGCTTTTCCCAGAACTTATAAAGCATTGTTTGTGCGGGAAGATCATGTGCCTTTATTGTGTCAGAACTTGAATGTCTTCAGATCTTTCAGTGAAGAGTGGCTTGAACGGAAATGGCTGTGATGTGCCTTAGTGCGATCATTTTGAAAGGAGGGGATGGGTGTTTCTCTGTCCACAGAAGCTTGTCCCAGAGATGTACAGAAACATGAGCACAAGCTTTATGTGAAGTAAGAATGAGTTGCTTGTAGGAAGAGACAATGCAAAGCTAATGATTAGAGTTAGAACAACAACATGTCTATGTATATACTAAACTTTGCCAATAAAATTCTTTTCACAGATTTATTTCCTTTAGCTTGATACTTGATATTTAGATGTGAACCTCTGAAGCAATTTTATTTTCTGTTTTTTTTTACGTATCATTAAAAAGCTAAATATTTTTTTTCAGTAAAAATAAAAAGAATAAAAAGTAACATCATGTCAAACACTTGTTTCCTTCCAGTTTTAGGTTTGTAAAACTCCTGTCAAGCACTTGGTTTGCATTTGGTTTTGCCTGCAATTGTTAGACTCGTGTTAAGACATTAAGCAATAGTGCACAGAAAGATTAATCTCGTGAAGTTTTTTTGCGTTTGGGACTTTAAATAAAATAATTTCTTATGTTGTCTGTTGAACAAAATTATTTTATCTGCTTCCTGTTTGTAAAACCCTTAGACCACTTAAGGGATAAAATACATTTATTTCAAGTTTTCCTGTATTTTCTGGTGAAAAAGAATGCATCTCTCCTATCCGTGGAGTGACTTCGAAGCAACTCTAAGGTTGAATGCTCCTTTCTTCACTGCTCCTTAGACACAAACATGTCTGTTACTACCATGATACTTCCAACATCCCATGAATATGAGGTCTTGCAAGTTTAAAGCTGGAATTGCTTTGTTATTTTCCTGGAGTTGGGAGGGGAAGTGTTGAAAGAGGATCAGACTACTAATGACAGTGTTTCAGAATGTGAAAAACTACTTGCTCTGTGTTTTTCTACTGCAGTGATACTGCTCAGTTTATTTTCACAAGTATTTTTAGTAAGAATTTTAAAATACTAGTGTTATCCCTGTGTTTTAAAACAGCACTAGGGTCTGTTTCATCAGCTTGAATGTTTCCTTTTTTAGATAGCTACAGGAGGTAAATCTGTTACAAGACTTTTGAGTAAGCAGATTTGCTGTTTAGTTTATTTGCCATCATGCGTTTTGGTAGTAGAAGCCTGGGCCAACTTTGGGATCTGTCCTTGTTCTTCCTGGAATTGCTAGATTGCAAAGTTTTTCCAGTGTATAGAAGATAGTAGAAATATATTTTTATATAGTAGTAGTAGTAAAAATATAAAATGGTAAAAAAAAAAATATAAATTATGTGCTTCTGTTGTCAAAGACTGTTTTAGGTAAGGCAGACACGGTAGAATAAAGCATTTTGCAGGTATTTCCCTTGAACTGAGGCAAGTTCTTGTCATAGTGCACTCTGCTCCTGGGCTGGCTGCTGACTTTAGATGAAATAACTTCCCAAGGCAAAGCCTTTCAGGGATACAGCAAAGCCTCTTCCACGCAATGAGGCAATCTAAGTAGAAGGTTACAGTATTAGAAAGTCTTTATTCTTTCTGGCAATGGAGGATGTGCACTAAGCAAGGGCTTCTGCAGAGTGTGCTGAAGGAGGTCAGGTTGAAGCCATGTCTTATTGCCACACCCTGACTCCACATTTATGTTTTGTTTTTGCAGAAGAGCTAGTTTTAACATGATGGAGTATGACAGCCAAAGGAAAAGAGACTCTCGGCGTATTACCTGTGCTCCACAAAAATGACAAATGATGTTTTGGGGTAGAGCACCTGTGACATGCACACAGAGTCTTGAAGCCAAGGAGAGGAACAGATCTGGATGTAGAACAGTTGAGCCTAATGGAAATGGCTCTTAACCAGCTCTGTTCTAAAATCCAGTGGGGGGCAAGATGTTTCCCTTGGTAGTGATTGGAATTTCACTGTTGGGTACTTTTGCCTAGACCAAGCATAGTGGTTATTGTTAATGTGATACAGTTGTTAACACTGGAGCTGTGCTTGTGTTTCTGGGTATGCCTATGGCTCCAGTACAGCCACAGGATTCGGGGCACAGGTATTGTTCACATTTTCATCTAGGCAGTGATGCTCATTTCTACAGTGTGTCAGCAGAAACACATGTGAACAGTTTTCCACGCTAAAAGTTTCTAAGTGATCCTTTGCTTGGCTTTGAGTAGGTGACATTCTGATTCTTTATAGTGGAAAAGTACGGGTGGTGTTAAATATGGAAAGCTCTGTGTCAGAGCTGATTTTTAGTTTAGTTAGAGATGTACATGCTTATATCTGCCTACTTCTGTGAATTCAGTATGAAATGGACTATGAATTTACTGATACCTCTAACTCTTTAGAGCAAATAATAGACTCCAGCCTAAACCTGTTGTTTATGAAAGTGCATAATTAGATTTTTTTGTATAAATTAAAAAGTTTTCATTCTATCTAGCATAACTTAAATAGTTTTTTTTTCTTAATGCGTTTCCTAAGGAAGCATGAGATTGTGGGGAAGAAATTGTAATAGAACACATTTTGGATAATTTCTAATAAAACAAAAAACAAAGTCATTTAACATCCTCCTTCTTCTAGCTATCATACACTTTTTATCAGCATATTTAAAGTAATAATTTTCTGTTAGCAGTGAATTGCAGTGTTTGATCTGTGAAGTGATATTTGCTTTGGTGGAGTTAGTAATACAAGATGCGGTTCACTAGTTCAGTCCTTCAGATGGAAATTGTGTCCAGCTCAGGTTGCTTTTCTATACTGTATGGTTGCCAGCTTATTCTTCATTCAGTCTTTCTTCTAACTCTGTTTATAAACCTGGAATAAATGCTCTTGGAAGTTTTGAAGAACCACAGGCTCCTCTGGTAATGTAGCTGTTGGTATGTGGTCATTGATGCCAAAACTGGTGATAAGCCTTTCTTCCCCTGTGTCTGT